TATCATTCAAGCAAGAGCGAGAGAGTAAGAGTCAGTTAAATATATATAGCATATACTCGGTTGCAGTCAAAAGAGAAAAACTCATGTCGTCGCTTGCTTTGGCTGTGCGCTCAGATATATAGCTATAGTCAACATTTCCACTCCTCTCCTCGTAGGCACACATTCGGTATACCCCAATACCCCTTCTACGTGTCGCCAAAATGTGCGCCTATATGCTCATTTCCACGCGAATCCACTTCTCTTCTTGTAGGCGCACGCTCTTCGATACGAGTCTCGCACTCTCGAAAAATGTGCGCCTTGGTTCGACGGCTGGCCGCGGCGGGTCGCCCCGATCAGTGGAAAAAAGTTGTCTCACGCCGTAGCATTGGCGTTAGCAATCTCTCTACACATCTCTGACTGAATCTTGTCTTACAAGTACATTATATATAATCATGTATATTATAATTAAAAATTTGCTTTTGACTACTATCGTAAAGGGTGAAAGAGAGGGATCACTTGAAAGATTAGGTGAGCCTTAGGAGGTACTTTTTTTTTGTAGGGTATTTTTTATTGGGATAATTTAACGGAGAAATATTAAGATTTTTCAAGCTCACTTGGAGCTCTTATAAGTGTCAGAAAATCATTATGTTATAAGCTTAAATAGACTATTTTGGCACGTTGGTAATTCCTGTTTACCAATTTAAAAAACGATGATTAAAAATGCAATTTTCTTGTGAGTATAGCACATTTACTAAAAAATAATTTTAAGTTGTCTATGTTCATTACTGTAATTGTCATATCGAAAGTAAAATAAATAAATACAATTAGATAAATAAATTATTTTAAAGAAATTTCGTGCAACTGTGATGACTTTTATTTTTTCAATATAGACTCATTAACAGGTATTTGCTGTTTGCAGCAAGATGTAATTAATAAAAAATGTTATACAGCTAATTGATCTAAATGTCGTAAAAAAGTGCCAAATTGTTGTGATAAAGAAAATTCACATAATTTTTGCCTTCTTTTACAGGTTGGCATTGAATTTATGGATCTGTACAGTCATCTTATTCCAGTGTACGAAGTTGAACCTCTCGAAAAAATCACAGACGCCTATTTGGATCAGTATTTATGGTACGAGGCAGACAAACGTAGACTTTTTCCGCCATGGGTCAAGCCAGCTGATACCGAACCACCACCATTGTTGGTATACAAATGGTGTCAGGGCATTAATAATCTTCATGATGTTTGGGATGTGAGTGAAGGAGAATGCAATGTTTTGCTTGAATCAAAGTTTGAAAAACTGTACGAGAAAATTGATTTGACTCTGCTCAATCGTTTGCTACGCTTGATTGTTGACCATAATATTGCTGACTACATGACAGCTAAGAACAACATTGTAATCAACTATAAAGATATGAACCACATTAATAGTTACGGCATCATTCGAGGACTCCAGTTTTCGTCTTTTATAGCTCAATATTATGGACTCGTGCTGGATCTACTCGTTCTTGGCTTGCAACGAGCCAGTGAAATGGCTGGTCCACCCCAAATGCCTAACGATTTTCTTAGCTTCCAGGTTGGCTATTTTTTTTGTTTTATCATTTTCTTTGTTATGTTTTTAAACATCAAAATAGTTCAAGCTCCAGATACTGATATTTTTTCTCCATAAAATGTTAACTCGTTAAAAATGAAATATAAAAAAAAGTTTTTTTTGTTATTGATACAAAATGCTCCTTATATATAGTTTTTAAAATGATTACAATCATCGGAATAGTTTAAAGTTTAACACATTAAGACATGTACAATTCGATATGCACTGCTTTTTTTTTAATTCTAAAAAAATTGTAAAACCATATGAAAAATAATAACTTAAATGCAATTCAATCAGATTAACTACTAATTTTATAGGATAAAGCAACGGAAACAGCCCATCCCATTCGTTTATACTGTCGTTACGTCGACCGCATCCACTTGTTTCTTCGCTTCACTGCAGATGAGGCGCGCGATCTAATCCAGCGATACCTGACGGAGCACCCAGATCCGAACAATGAAAACATTGTCGGTTACAACAACAAAAAATGCTGGCCACGTGACGCGCGAATGCGACTTATGAAGCACGATGTAAATCTCGGACGTGCTGTTTTTTGGGATATCAAAAACCGTTTGCCTAGATCTACAACAACCGTTCAATGGGAAAATAGCTTTGTGAGCGTATATAGTAAGGATAACCCAAACTTACTTTTCAACATGAGCGGCTTTGAGTGCCGTATTCTACCTAAGTGCCGCATGACTCACGAGGAGTTTACGCATAAGGATGGTGTCTGGAACTTGCAAAATGAAAAAACAAAGGAGCGCACGGCTCAGTGCTTTTTACGCGTCGATGACGAAAGTCTACAGCGCTTCCATAATCGCGTCAGGCAGATCCTTATGGCTTCTGGCTCAACCACCTTTACCAAGATTGTAAACAAATGGAATACAGCCCTGATTGGTTTGATGACATACTTTCGTGAGGCAGTAGTCAACACTCAAGAACTTTTAGACTTGTTAGTCAAGTGCGAGAACAAGATTCAAACTCGCATTAAGATTGGTCTCAACTCAAAAATGCCCTCGAGGTTCCCCCCGGTCGTGTTCTATACTCCCAAAGAGCTGGGAGGTCTGGGCATGCTATCCATGGGTCACGTGCTTATCCCACAGTCCGACCTCAGGTGGTCCAAGCAGACTGACGTCGGTATTACTCACTTCCGATCGGGAATGAGCCATGATGAGGATCAGCTCATTCCTAACCTATACAGATACATTCAGCCTTGGGAATCTGAGTTCATCGATTCACAAAGAGTGTGGGCAGAATATGCCCTGAAAAGACAAGAGGCAAATGCTCAGAACCGCAGGTTGACTCTAGAAGATCTCGAAGATAGCTGGGATCGTGGTATTCCAAGGATCAATACACTTTTTCAAAAAGATAGACATACGTTGGCTTACGATAAAGGCTGGCGCATTAGAACTGAATTCAAACAGTATCAGGTAATATTAAAATGATATTTTAGACATTTCATGATGTATCTACATATTAATCTAGACCTTCTTAAACTATTTAAAATATATTTAGAACCGATGCATTGTGAAACATGGTAAAGTCCACATACCCTAACGTCAACCCAACCTTTTCTTTATTTAAATTTGCAATGCATATTTTTTTCTGTAAGTATAGAAAGTCACGATATATGTGACGTAGAAAGAATAGTACATTACGTACTAAGGTCAGAAAGTAAACAATCAACTGCTGATGTGGTAGTTTAGTCTCTGGCCTACGTGTGTATACGTTATGTTGCATGTACATGCTAAAAAGTTAAATTTTTTTTAATTTAAAAACTTTTACCTTCCAGCAGATGTATTAAAAAAACATACACACTATTCTGCTTGCTAGATCATTCTAGAATATTAACTTTAGTGTAAAAAAATTTGCTTTTTAGGTAATTCCAAGTTACTCCGAATGACTCATAGGTTTGCATTATCGAACGTACGTTCGAGTATGTTTACCAGATATTTGACCTTGAAAAAGCCAGAAATAGTATATTACATACGTATATTCCGTAAAGGTAGAACTGGGAGCGTGGTTTTGTATTTGTGCCTGAGTCGTGTATACTGTTATTCTTACTGGAATCGGAAAGTGAAATTTTGTACCAGTGCAGTAAGTTAAATTGGACTGGTCTAATAAGCTTAATGCGTTAGTAATTTTTAAAGAAGTTTAACCCTGGTACTAAAAATTTTTTTTGCAACATAATCAATACTACTCTGTTAAAAAAAATACAAAAAATACAAAAACAGTTTTTTGTACGAGAAATAAATAATAATATACGTTAAAAGTTTTAATTAAGTAAACATAAATGCAATAGAAAAACGCAACAAATGAGCTTTAATGAAACACAATAAGCTCATTGATTTCCTCACAAGTTGCAATGATACGCTCTAATTTGGAAATATTCATAACTTATATTCACATAAATATCTTATTAAAAACTAAAATCTAGTCATAATAGTCCACTAGTACCCAAACCAAATTTTGGCACAATTGGTTCTTAAGATTTTGTCTTGGTTTTTTTTTGTTATTTAGATTTTTCATTTTTGTATAAACATTTACTGTCTTAATGTTGGCTAGATATACGCTAACGTGGACTCATTTTTTCAGGTGAAAGGAGATACTCTCTGCTATTACTTTAAAGTAGTTTTACAATTGTTTTCTAAATTCAATATACNAATACTCTGAAAAGTGTAATGTGGAAAATGAAATTTTTCGTTCGATCATGTGTAAACAGCAATCTCATTAGATTAAGAATTGTCTGTGGCTGCTTACTAGAAAAAAAAAATTTTCAATTCTTAATACTTATAAAAAATATTTTGTTTCTTACTACATTTTTAATCGTTGACTAGTTTTCATAATTATTTTGTGTACATATATTATAAAGATTCACAAATCTTGAATGCAATACATAAGGTTGACAGTAAGAAAATAATAGTATTTCATGCGAATATCATAATTTATCAAAATTTTGACCTTGTGATGTATAAAGTGTCATGGAAAGAACTAAAACCAAAGGAAATTGTTTCCTGTACGAACGATAAAAGTAGATTAATACTTGTATTTGATGTAATCTTTAGTACCTATGAAGACTTTGTTCCCCGCGATTATTTAATACTCACTATTACTGCTTCAAGGTTACGTTAAAACAATTTAATCCTGCGAAGTCTTGTTTTATTGCACAAACCATTGAGTAATAAACTTAAGTTTTCTTATTAACATAATAATTGCACCCTTTTTAAATTTCAAGCATGTGGTGGTGAGCCTTGATGTATAATACTGAGAGCTACGATTAAAAAATTTATATCTACATTAGCATAATGTGTGCGTTCGCTACCTTGATATTTTTCATAATCTATATTGTAATACGTTAGAATTCCGTTCTTTAAAATGTAAGATAATCAATTATGAACAAAAGTTACCTAACTAAGGTCATGAGTCACCATGCCATATTGATATTTATACATTTTCTTACAACTATTATCAAATTCTCGTTTCCCAGAAATATCAAATAATTGTATAAGTCAATAAGCAAATATCCCAAAAACCTTTTGATATTTATACATTTTCTTACAACTATTATCAAATTCTCGTTTCCCAGAAATATCAAATAATTGTATAAGTCAATAAAAAATATCCCAAAAACCTTTTAACACTCTCACGAAATATTTTATTGGATACATATACAACTAATAGCACATAGGTTTTTTTACTAAGTTTTACTTTAGTATATTGAATTTAGAAAACAATTGTAAAACTACTTTAAAGTAATAGCAGAGAGTATCTCCTTTCACCTGAAAAAATGAGTCCACGTTAGCGTATATCTAGCCAACATTAAGACAGTAAATGTTTATACAAAAATGAAAAATCTAAATAACAAAAAAAAATCAAGACAAAATCTTAATTTTTTCAAGCTGTAAAAGCTCATACAAAAATAAGAAGCGAAGGTTCTTCAAAATCGCTCAATGAATTTTTTTAGTATGATCAATTATACGTGTAAGAATTTGTAAACCCACGCACCTGATATAACTGTCGTATATACTATGTATAACATCTGTTGTATAAAGTTAAGGAGACTTGTGCGTTTGGTGTCATATATATTCAAGGGCTTCTATGGGGTACTTGTCATACAAACGATTCTTCGTATTATTTTTTTTACAATCATATTGATTATACACATGTGTCAACAAAATAGCAATAATACTTGGAAAAATCATTAGGGAATTCAATATTAAAAAATGTATTAGTTTTCCTGAGGTAACGTGTGTAAAGTTAACGGCCCTGTCACTATAAAACTGACAACGCCGCACCTTGTGTATTCTGCTGTTATACCTATACCTACACTTGTTCTGGACTGGAGTCTGTGAATTTAGCCTATGACTTTTTCGATAAAAGTAATGTTATAAACGCACATGATACGTTAAAAGATGTTTTAGTTTTACAATACAAAAACTTATTTATCAGATTCGTATAGACACATCTGAAATTGTGAAAAATACCAAAAGGATTGAAGTTATATCAAATACGAAAGCTTGATTACAAAAAATCAAAGAGAGTAAGAAGTCAAAAACAGATATAACGAACATAAGACCAGCTATAAAAAAAAAAAGTTGTTCAGGCTTGTATTGATCAAACAATGCTCCTCAAAGCAATTGAAACTGGAAGATTAGACTGTTTGACATTCCTATTGGGAAAAAATGTGAACAATAAACCACTAGTTACCACCAACAAAAGAATCATCCAAAATATTTCTGATCAGCTGGATAAAAGAAAATGGTGTATATATTGTTTGTTATAAATGCTGTAGAACAGTTAATAAATGCTTCTAACAAAGTTAACAATATTTGGTTAGTTATTATTTAATAACTACAATATTTAAGTTTCAGTTTATTAAAATTACTTTTCAATTACTAGTGTACAGAATGTACCATTATTCGCGTTCACGTATGCTGTCTATTTAAATGGCGCGCCATCTTATTGATGCACTGTTGCAACTTTTATGGCACATGTGTACTCACAGTACCTGAATAAAACAGTTCTCACGTTCGACGTTTTTCTCACTATTTTTTGAAAATTTAACGTGTTGATCCTATCCTTTGTTTAAAATAATAGATTCTTTATAGTCTAAACTACGTGTAACAATTTGACGCATGGGCCCACAGCTTTTTATTGTGGTATGGTAGTCAATTGAATTTCAGGTTTCGTAAGACTACGTGTTAAAGTGACGAATTTTCACAAGGGGTTGCCTTGAAGATAAATGTGATGACCTACCTTTTTTTTTACATAAAAAAATAGCATAATTTTTTTACATAATCTCTTAGTTTCAGAGCTAGCCAGCATTTTATTTCAAATGGCCTTAAACAATTTTTTAAATTCTTTTATGCAAAATATCTTTCAATATAGAAAAAACAAAACGTAAATCAGAAAAGAAAAATTATGTTTCTAAAATCGATAAAACTGAGCTAAAGTAATAGCTGATAGATTGCATTATAATTGTCTTTTCTAGAGATGATTAGTATCTTAAAATAAAAAAAAAGTCCAAAAATAATTTATTATTGCTTTAGTGGATTTTAAAATATGATTAATGATATACGTAGGCAAATTTATATTTTGCTTAAAATTTAACGATCTCTTAGATGTTATAGCATAAAATATTTCAAAACTTAAACTAAAAAAAAAAAAAAAAAAAAATTATTTTTGGTGAACAAATTGGATTTTTAAAATAGTAAAAACGAATTCAAAAACTTAATTGAATGAATGATACTTCAATGATCTACATTTTACACTGAAATAAAAAAAATGTCTGAAAATCAGATATCGTGTGAATAAAGTATGCAAAATTCATTTACACTAAAGAAATACTACGGTTAACCACTTTATTCTCGAGAAAATCGCTACTAAAAACTTGCCAATTTAATACACAATCTCATGAAAATCATCACAAAATAGACTTCGGAAGTTTACCACGAACCTTAGACTTTCAAAATGATTTTCATGTATTTTTTTATACAGAATTTATAAAGTTCTTAAAAATATAGGGTTTACCACTTTAATCAAGAGAAAATCACAAGGGAAGTATCAAATAGAGTAATCTACATTATTACGTCTCGTATTGCTGTAGATGTATTTTTCGATCTATCATCTATCGTGATACCTATAGTCGCTATTGTCGTGGGTATAAAGTTGTACCTAATGAGGGCCTTGTAACGTGGGTTACTGTACGGGCCGAAACGTTGTTCACAGCAATAAACGATTTTGATAGCATCACCAAGAGAGTCATTATTTCTTTGAAATAGGTGTTAGCCTTTCTTCGAGTGAAAAATAAATTTTGAACAAGGGTGTAGATTTTAATCATTATTGATAATCCCAGTTATAATAACATTTTAAGATATACTTAGTTATGAAATAACAGGAAGTTGGAAAGTACTATTTACACTAATTTAAC